CTAACCCTGCTGTAGCAGACCCTAGCGTTACATAGTCCCTAACCCTGCTGTAGCAGACCCTAGCGTTCCATAGTCCCTAACCCTGCTGTAGCAGATCCCCCAACAGAATCTTTTAGAATCCCTCAGGACTGGGGAGCTCAATACTTGCCCCCCCCACCCCCGCCGTTGGACATCTGTAGATGTTAGCTATTCCTTATGTAGAGGCAACAGTCTACCTCCCCAGAACACTCCACCCATGCTTCCAGCTCTGCTTTATGGACTACTCTAAAAAAAAAGACCAGATATAGCAGGCCTTTGAATGCTTGAGGACACCTTTGCTGCCATATCCAATGCCTCTCTGCTTTTGTTATTCCTATTGATTTTCATCCAGGACCTCCTGGTGACCATTTTCTAAAGGTCAATGGCCCTTTAAAGTATATAGTTCTCCATGCAGCAGACCTGGGATCAATGTCCTCTTAAACTTTATTATTTTTGAAAACAGTATTAATCTCCCAATCATGTGCTTTGAAATCAAGAAACAGACACCATCCCCGTAAAGACATAATATTTTGGCATAAATATTTCCTGATGAACACTGGTGCTTCCTAATTACAAAGTAACAAACATTGCAGAGATCATTGTTCATGTCAATCAACTATATTTTCTTGAATTCTTCTTCTGCTCTTCTTTAAAAATAGAACATTTGATCACTTTCAATTTTATTATGCTTATTCCAGTCTATATGGTTTCTACTATCAAAAATGATTCTTCAGTTGTATCCTGAAGTTAAGTCAACTTGAACTTGGCTTGAACTTATGAATTGACTGGATCCTCTCCCACTATCTTGGCTCCATTCAGGGTTTCAATTTTCTCTTCATTCATTTTTCCACCTTTCCTAGTATGAAGGTTATATAAGAAGGAAGTATAATACTGGACGCGTGGTTATGCATGTTTCAGTCCCTTTGATTAACGCCTATCATCACCCCTCAGAGGGCTTCCTCGTTAATCACCACTCCTGACAGCACACTATTAAAGCAGATCCACTCACTCTTGGCCCACAGGTTGCTTTGCAAAATTGGAGAAAGGAAGACGAGGATGAACCCAGCTTCATCCATAACCATATCCTCCCTTCCCCTGTTAACATTAGAGGGCACGTCCCTCTGAGAGTGTTCTGTATCTCATTACTTTCCACCTTCGTCTGACTAAATGAATTCTCTCTTCTGTCTTCTGAATACTAAACCTGTCTTTCTCTTCTGGAGTCTTCCAATTTCCACTTAAACATATGTATCTTTTAAATTTCTTCCATCTCTTATCCCTTCCAGCTACAATTCCCTCTCTTTCCTCTCCTTACAGCCGAACTTCATAGAAGAGCTAATTGTCTGCACGTCCTCACCTCCCACTCTCCCCTCATAGTACTTTGGTTTAGATTTCTTAGACGTCACCTCTCTCACTGGCTTCCTGTCTGATTGTCCTATATCCATTCCTCCCCTCAAATCAATTTCCTACAGCCAGAGCACACCTCTAAAAACTCAACTCCGGTCATCGCACTCTCCAGGTTAGAGCCTTTCAATGTCTTCCTATCACTGTAAAGGGAAAATCTAGAGTCATTAATATGGTTCACAAGGGCCTGCACCAGCTGGCCTCTACCAAGCCAACTACCCACACCTTGAGCCTCTCCTTCCTGCTCTCTGCTCTCAGTACACCAGCATACCTTTATTTCCTTTTGTTCTCCATGCTTTTCCCAGCCTCAGGTCTTTGACCTTACTGTGTTCTCTGCCCTGGGTGTCATCAATCACCAAACTCATGCTCCTTTGTGTCTTAGCCCAAGTGGGTTTGCATGTTATTTACTCACCTTTTCCCAATGTCATCCTTTCCCAATGATAACATTCAGCACACTCTTTAGGGGTTGCCTACTCCTTCCCTTTTTGGAGAGCAAGATTTATTGAGATATAATTCACATACCATACAGTTCACCCATTTAAAGTATAGTGTTCATTGGTTTTTAGTATGGCAATGGAGTTGTGCAACCATAATCACAATATAATTTTAGAACATTTTTTTCTTATCACCACAAAAAGAAACCCCATGCCCATCTAAGCATGCCCATGGCAGTCGCTCCCCATTGCATCACACTCTCTAGTCCTAGGCAACCAGTAATCCACCTTCCAAGTCTACAGACGTGTCTATTGCAGCTATTTCATACAAATGGAATGAAGCCAATGCGGCCTCCTGTGACTGGCTTCTTTCACTTAGCATGATGTTTTCAGGTTCATCCATGTTGTTGATTAATACTTCACTCCTTTTTAGTGCCAAATAATATTTCCTTATGCCTATATTATATTTCACATTCATCTATTTGTCAGTTGATAGACATTTAGGTTGTTTATACTTTTCTGAGTATTATTAATAATCCTGCTATGAAGTTTTGCACACAAGTTTGTGAGGGGGCATGTGTTTTCATTTTGCTTGGGTATATACTCAGGAGTAGAATTGCTCAATCTTGGGATAACTCTGGGTGTAACATTTTGAGGAACAGCCAAACTGTTTTCCAAAGTAGCTGCACCATTCCACATGTTCATGTCATTGTGGTTTTGATTGGCATCTCCATGATGACCAATAAAGTTAATAATCTCTCCAGTGCTTGCTAGTCACGTGTATGTCTTCTTTGGAGAAATGTCTAGTCAATCTTTTGTATGTAAGTTGGGTCATTTACCTTTTCACTACTGAATTGTAGAAGTTCTTAATATATTTCAGGTGCTAGTCCCTTATCATTATGTGATTTGCTAAATTTTTCACCCATTCTATAGGTTGTCTTTTCAATTTATATCGATTTTTACTTCTGTTATTTGTGCTTTTGGTGGTGTAGCTAAGAAACCATTACTTAGCCCAAGGTCATGAACATTTACTCATGTTTTATAGTTCAGTTCTTACATTTAGGTTTGATTCATTTTGAGGTAATTTTTGAATATGGTATGAGGTAGGGGTTGAACTTGATTCTTTTGCATGTGAATATCCAGATGTCCTACCATCACTTGAAGAAAACATTTTTTTATCCTCTTTTGTTGTCTTGACATTCTTTTGAAACATCAGTTTATCATAATGATGATTATGATAAACTCTCACTTCTATTCCATTGGTATACATGTCTATTTTATGCCAGTACCATACCATGTTGATAATCGTAGTTTTATAGTAAGTTTTCAAATCAGGAAATGTTGAGTCCTCCAACTTTATTTTACTTTTTAAGATTATTCTGGCTATTCTGAGTTCCTTACATTTACATATGAATTTTAGAATTAGCTTATCAGTTTCTGCAAAAAGGTAGGTGGGTGGGCTGCTGGTGTTTTGATGGAGAACACATTAAAATCTGTAGATCAATGTGGGGAATATTGCTATATTCACTATATATAGTCCTTTCATCCAGAGTCCTTTGCAACTCTCTGTTTTTTTTTCTAAAGATCTTGTTTAATGTTTTTGAACAATGTTTTACTATTTTCAGTGTAGAAGTCTTGAACTTTACTAAATTTATTCTTATGTGCTGTATTCTTTTTGATGCCATTATAAATTGAATTGTTTTCTGAATTTCATTTTCAGATTGCTTCTTGCTGCTGTATAGAAATAGAAATGATTTTTGTATATTGATCTTATGGCCTGCAACCTTGCTGAACCTAGCTCTAATAGTGTTTTAAGGGATGCTTTAGAATTTTATATATGCAAAATCATGTCATCCACAAATGATGATAGTCTAATTATTTCCTTTCTAATCTGGATGCCTTTTCTTTCTTTCTCCTGCCTAATTGTCTTGGCTAGAACTTCTAGTACAATGGCTAGCATACATGGAGAAAGCAACCGTGCGTTCCTGATCTTGGAAGAAAATATACCACTTTTTGCCATTAGATGTGATACTCATTGTCAGTTTTTTGTAGATGCTGTTTCTTTGGCTGAGGAAGTTGTCTATTTGTATATGTGCAGTTGTCTATTTGTATATGTGCAGTTGTCTGCAGTTGTCTTGTAATGACCTGCTTGATGTCTCTGTTCCCTGCTAGGCTGTAAGCCTTAATGTGCCTTGTTTATTGCTATACCATAGCACAAAGCAAGGTGCCCAGCTTAGAGCAGCCACACAGTAACTACTTGCAAATAACTAAAACAATGTCCTTTTAGGTTTGTGTCTTCCTTTAGGCTTTGTTCTCATCCCAATCTTTGCAAGTCTTATCTTGTAGCCAAGTCTTCCTGCTACTTAAGTTATTTCTCTGTTTTCTTCCTTTTGGGGATATCGGGGAGCACACAGTTAATATT